CAGGTGGAATTAAGAATAATTATATATTAATGTGATAGTATCACATGTTAGCATACCGCTGTTTTTATCCAGGTGTATTGATTTGCTCTAAATTAAGAGAAGATATCTTTTAGACAAATTAAATTCTGCTTTTATATAATATGGTAGATTCTCTTATTGGATGGTTCCAGGAAATGACTAATGAACTGGTTTAAATGTTATTTTATTTAAAATTACATAAGAATAGATCCTAATTACTTAGGAGATCTAGCCAGCATTGAAAGGGTTATTCTAACTGTTAACCAGGGTTTTATGGCCCTTCGCTTTCTCTCTGTGTAAGGATACCTCATAAATCGTGTAAGCCTTGACAGAAAATGCTGTTTAGCCATTGAAATGTGTATACCCATTCCATTGCATATCATTTTATACTGGATATTCATTGATTATTGTCACGCATGTTACATATTATTATTAATTAATTTGTTATTATAAAATAAAATCTGTTTTTATAACATTGTGATATTATTTATATGAAATACATTCCACTTAACACGATAACGATCTTTGGGGTCTGAGAATTGAATTAGTGGGCAATTCTCACTGTTTACTATTATTATCCCATAAATATCCCCACATATTGGAGGCACGCTGCTGAGATCGTTTAAGTTGAAATTATATTTCATATATAATAATATTGGTGTAATTCATGCAATTTAATCTTGATATAGAAAAGAGTTTTGTATTGAGATTAAATTAGTATAAAATCAAAAAATGGCCAGTGGCAGTGATAAATCTGTAACAGATAATACTGAAATAATTGAAGACCTAAGAAAACATGCTCTAGTTTATATTCATAAACATATGAAAAATGATGCAACCTATGAGGTTTGGTTGAAAAGCATAGAATGGGAAGCTAAACACACCATTCTAACTGATGAACACATCATCATATATCTTAAAGAAATTGCTGAACAAAAGAATATAGAAAGGAAAATGGCATACATAATACACTCTTGGCCTTTCTTTATGACAGCACTTCTTATGGTGTGTGATGAAAACAAGTCACTGAATGCCAAATTGGACACGTACAGTGACGATCTGGGCATTCAGAATGGGAAATGCCAAGATTTACTTGCTGAGCATAAAACTCGTCAGGCTGATCATAAAAAAGAAATGAAAGCTTTGACGGATAAATATGCACAGGAAATAAATCAGCTTAAAATGCAATTGGATGAGTATGAAAAGGAGAGTCAGAAATTAGACAGTGAGGTTGGTAGTCATCATTCTGTGCCAAAAAGTTGCACAAAAATGCAAGAAAAGACTATTTGTAAATCCCCTCCTTATTATGATTTTCCCACAAGTAAAGATGTGAGTAATTCTAAAAAATCACCTGTGGAACAAGATTCCCCATCTCATGACATTACCAAGCCATCTTGGCAATCTTGGGCAGAACAGTTTGAAAAGACTGTCTTGGCCAAACTTGAGAGGGAGAGGTGATAGGAATGAAAACAGACATGGTTCTGTACACTGGCAGGATTCTGATGCAGATCAGAATTGTGACAGTGAACAAGAAGCTCAGAGTGATGGGAGTGAAAGTGATTGCACTGTCCACTCTGAAGGCCATGTAACTGATATGCCATCTGCACTGTTGTACGGGTCTAATTCCTCTTCAGCAGACAGATTGCATAGACGTTTACCCAAACACAGAAACAGAGGTCGTAAATCAACGATGCCTGTTTATGAAACACCAAAGGTCATCAAATTCCTTAGAGAGACTGTCCCACAATTTTCTAGAGGTTCAGGAAACATATCTGAACATCTGGAAAATTATGATAGAACAATGAATTCATTGGGCATGTATGATGACATTCATAAGAAATGGTTCATTACATGGACTTTGATTCAATGTGCCGTGTTTATCTAGAAAGTCTTCAAGCTATACAGTTAATGTCCTGGTCCAAGATGAAATAAGAAATAATCATGGAATATGGTAAGTATAAAACCATTGCCTCTGCAAAGAAGGCGCTTTATAACTTAAAGTGCCGTCCAGATCAAAGCCCCAGAGAATTTTTAATAATTCTTAAAAATGCATACTCCGTGGCTCAAAGAAAACCCAGGTATGAAAGCACAGACTTCAAAGATCTGTATTTTCATGCCATGCCGGTAAACATACAAATGAATCTCACAAGAGATTACGATTGTAAGTTACCATTAGAATGGCTAGTCAGTCAGTGCATGAAATTGTATACTATACACCATGCACATGACAAAAATCTGCTAAAGGTTAAGAAACCTGGTGATAAAATGGTGTCAGAGACTAAAATTCAGTTAGGTTTAGAAACCCAACAGAAAAAGAGGACCTATTCCGAGGTTTTGAAAACACCAAAACCTCAGAAACAGGAAAACGCAGGAAGCAATTCTGCAAATTCCTCTAATAACTCTGAAAAATCCAATGCCAATGGGAATAAACGCCCCTGGGTTAATAAGAACCAAGGCAATTCCCAATGGAGAAGGAATCCTCAGGGAAATAGGAAATATGGAAACAGAAATAACCAATCTGCTTCCAGTAACTCCCAACAGTCTCAGCCATCCCAGCCAAATTCTAATGGGCAAAGACAAAACGGCAATGGGGGAAATAATTTGCGTCGTCAGGTTGGTCAATTGACAGACCAGATGGGCAAATTAATGGAGGAAATGACAAAGATTAACCAAGTCTTTGCCAGAAATCCTTTTTTAGGTATAGCTCCAATTGCAGAACTACCTGTGCAACCGCAGCAACAACAACAGGTGCCGCAGCAAATATAGCTTCTGTGACTAAACAGGCTAGGTGATCAGTAGATGTAATACCTAACCCTGTTTCCTTTCCAGGTACTAACAGTCAAATAAACAATAGTTGTGTTAGGAAACCTATTGCCTATCCCGTCACTTCACTTCCGGGTGAAGGAGGCGCAACGTGTTCCTCTGTTTTTTCATTTCAGCCAAAGGCTAAAGTAGCCCCAGCAACCACTAGTTTCCAGGATCCAGACGTGAAAGGGTTTACTGATGAGATGCCGACCACTAGTTCCCGCTTCACAGTTCAAGATATTCCTAAAAAGGATGGGCCTGTGGGTAAGACTGAGCATTCCTCAGTACAGGTAGAAACTACTGCTGTGACCGGTAATGTATGGAAAACAAGTAATATGTTGACACATTCTAAATTCTTATGGAATTAGAAGAACATGAAGGAAGGTACTACATGTCTGTAGAAATACAGGATTCGCTACCCCAGCCTTTCAAAGGGTTAATAGATACTGGTTCACAAGCCACTATCTTATCCAATACCTACTTCCAGCAGGTAATGGACTTAGCAGCGGATAAGCCGAAGCTAAGAGATTTCCCCAACGCTCTGTTGAGTGTAGGAGGAAATGCCCTTCATGTTATTGGCAATACCTGGTTAAAGTTTAAAATAGGTAACAAAACCTTTAGACACCCGGTGATAGTGGTAGATCTCCCCTATGACCGACTGATTCTGAGTATAGACATACTCAGAAGACTTAACACAATTATTGACTGTGTGAATGGAATTGTATGGTCACAAGCTAAGGTTCCCATAACCTATGAGAAATCACATGTAAAATCTGATCGTAACTGCCATGTGATAGAAGAAAGACCTGACTCGATAGAGGTACATTTTAGGAATAGTCAGTCACCTGACGTGACTATCCTGCAGGTGAATGATGCAATCGCACCTGTAGATGAGCATTCCGTAAGAGTTGCTCCACAGAGAATAAAGAATGTCTCTCTGGAAGGTGATGTTTTAACCATTTCTCTCCAAAAGGACTATGTTGAATCTGTAGATCTGGCAGGTCATGCTCAATTCCTTGCCAGAATTGAAAGGGTTAACAACAACTTATTCTTTCCTATGCAAATAAATGACTTGGGAAGAAGTAGGAATGCAAAGCTGGACTTACAGAGTGAGAACAGCTATATTAGCAGAAGTCTGTTAAAGCAGATCGCTAATCCTAAAATGATCAGGTATGCTTCCCCACATGACAGGTGGATCCAGAATCTGGATGGCGAATCAGAGAGTCACAATGTGATAGCAAAATGTTTACTATCTATTTCCATAGGAAATAAGACAGTTAAACATTTATTCCTAGTGATAGACGAACCTCGCTATCAGGTTTACGTTGGCAATGATGTCATACATCGCTTTGCCATACACCTTGACCTGATTAATTCCAATTTGTGGACAAGGTTAAAAGGTAATCCTTGTGGATACCTACACGAGGAAAACGCCCTGAAATCAGGACAAATACTCCCATATGCGGTAAGTATCCAAGTACCTGATGACATAACCATTCCACAGGGGACAAGTAGCTTTCTTTTACCCCTACAAGTCAAGGAGGGTCAGAGATTGGAAAACTCTGATGCCCTAATCTGTTTATCCAACAGGATACAACAATTAGGGATGGTGGTAACACATACACCAATGGTAAGTATTGGTAAGAATCCCACCTATATCATGGTCAACAATGTTACACCCAATAGTGTTATTTTACCAAAAGGAACATTATTAGGTCTAGCATTGGATGCTGAGTACTATACATTTGGTTTCCAAAACCAAATTATAGGCCTCATCCCTGAAGAATACTTAACTGAGGACGAAATTGTCGATCAAATATTCCATTCCTCCCCAGAAGGATTATTCACTATCCTATCTGTATATCCCTTCAGCGATGAAGAAGGCTCGTGTAAAATCGAAGAGGCATCAATCACCTTCGATCATCCGCTCAATGAGCAGGAATCACAAGAGTATCACGACCAAAGAGAAAAGGTAAGTCAACACCGAACTGACCTAACTTCTAGGCTTGAAGAAGCTTATGAGATAGGCCAGCCTGAAATCTTTCCAGGATTTCAGGAAAGGCTAGAAGAGCAAATATCTTTAGCTGACGGTTGCTCCAGCGATGCTGAGCGGCAACAGCTAAAGGAAATCCTTATGGAATTCCAAGATATTTTTGCCAAAGATTCCTACGACTGTGGGTTAACTAACCTCCACGTAGCCAGAATACAAACTGATCCAAATTTACCACCTGTATTTATCAAACAATATGGACTCCCATTAGCGTCATATGATGGTCTACAAGACATCATTCAGAATTTAAAGGAAAGGGGCATTATACGTCCAGTGCACAGTTCGTATAATAATCCGATCTTGGGGATTCTGAAACCTAATGGACAATGGCGTTTATGCGCTGACTTACGACAGCTAAATAAACGCATCTATTTGTCTGGTTGGCCAACGCCATACATAGACCAATGTTTGGTACAAATGCAGGGATCCAAAATATTCACTGCCATTGACTGTGCGCAGGGATATTGGACTGTACCAGTCCATAATGAAGACCAATACAAATTGGCCTTCACATTTGGAAAGCAGCAGTATACCTGGACCCGTATGCCTTTCGGTTATATAAACTCTGGTCATGAATTCGCTGTGTTCGTGCATAAAGCTATGCCTGACGCACTCGAGAGAGGAACGTTATCATATGTCGTCGATGTCTTGCTGAAAAGCACTTCCTTTGATAAACATATCACAGAGATTAGACATGTTCTCACTCAGTTAAGAGAGGCAGGGATTAAACTATCTTTACAAAAGGCGCAATGGTGTCGCACCCATGTCAATTTCCTCGGACATGAGGTAACTTCTGAAGGATTAAATCCCCAGAGGAAGAAGGTTGAAGCTGTAATTAAGGCTAAAACATCTTCAAACATCAGGGAATTAAGATCGTTCCTTGGTATGACTAACTACTCCCGTAAGTTTATAGATAACTATGCAGAAATAACTAAACCACTCTTACACCTGCTTAAAAGGGAAACTACCTGGAACTGGGGGGAGCCTCAGGACCAAGCGGTAAGTGAACTGAGGAGGAAGCTCACTCAGGCACCCTGTTTAGCATACCCAGAGGGGGGTAAACCCTTCTATCTGGAGACAGGATATACCGATTTAAGCATCAGTGCTGTTCTGTATCAGAAGCAGGACAGTTTAAACAAAGTTATTGCATATGCTAGCAAGACTTTGTCACCTGTTGAAGTTAAATTCAACACGTGTGAGAAGGCGTTATAATCGACTGTCTGGGCACTACAAAATTTTCGTAGCTATATTCAAGGTGAGAAAATAATTGTAGAAACAGCTCACCAACCTCTACAGTATCTGCAGAGTGAAAGAATTAGAGGCGGTAATCTCTCTAACAGTCGGATTACTGCATGGACTCTATCCTTACAGGGATGGCCGTTAGAAGTCCGTTATAAACATAATAAGAGAAGCCCAGTTGCCCAAGGTTTAGCAGAATTACATGACTGTACTGCTCCATCTCTGGATGATAATGACACCGGAGATGACTTCCTAGAAGAGCAATTGCTATCTCCTTATAAAGTTTATGACGAGGAACACTGTCGACCACTACCGTGGGTATACATTGATGGTTGTTCATATCACCACGTCGTTGGTGCTGAGCGGAAGTTAGTTGCAGGTATCGGAATCGCCTGGACAGGTGATTATCCCAATGTATCTATAGGATACAATATTGGTCCCAAAAGCAGTCAGATAGCCGAACTCTGTGCAGTATATAAGACCATTCAAATGGAAATAGAATATGGTATCAAAGAATTTGTTATTATAACGGATTCCAACTATGTTCGCAACAGTTTCATCGAATATCTGCCTAGCTGGAAACGTAACCAAATGCTGAAAAGCAATAACAAACCTGTTAAACATGGGAAATTGTTTTGTAAAATTGATGAGTTGGTTAAGGAAAATGGTTTAACCATATATTGGAAGAAAACCATAGGCCATTCTAAAATAGAAGGTATTGACAAGGATGGTAATGACTTAGCCGATTCACTGGCAAAACAAGCTGCCATCAATGGTGAAACCCTAAACATTGATGATCTTATGGGTTCAATTCATGTTGAAGCCATAACTAGACGACAGGCTAGAGATAACGCCGACTTAAACGTCGTGCAATGGAGTCAAGAAGCTCCTAGTGAGGACCTGATTACTAGTCAAAAGAACGATCCCGTCATAAGCATATTCTATAAACATATAGAAGACCCTACTGCCAATCCCCTCACAGATGAGGATTGCAAAGATAATGAAGATTTACGAATCTTGATGAGATATAAAGTCCAATTTAGTATCATGGATGGGTTACTGGTCAGAACTTCTAAACATGGTATACAACAATGGGTAGTCCCAACTGTATACAGGGGGTTAATGCTCCAACACGCACATGATGCACCTACATCTGGGCATCGTGGTGATAAGATCACATATGAGATAGTGCGTGATTATGCATATTGGCCACACATGTTAAGGGATGTTAAGACATACTGTCAGGGATGCTTGATTTGTCCGCAATATCAACCCCATGGTCCAACCCATCGTGCACCACTTCAGAAGAGGGGGGTGTCATTACCCTGGTCTGATATTCAAATTGACTTTATAGGTCCTGTAACAAGATCTTCAAGAGGTAACAAATACATTTTAACAGTTACATGTATGTACACAAAGTGGATAGAATGTTTGCCTTGTAAAGAGAACACAAGTACCGTGTGCGCCACTTTGTTGATTAACCATGTCTTTTCCAGGTTCGGCGGTCTGCCTCAAAGAATTGAGTCAGACAGAGGTAGTCATTTTACCAGCGAAGTAATGGCTAAGATGTGGAACATTCTAGGTGTTAAACGAAAGCTACATATGGCATACCGCGCTGCGTCTAGCGGGGGGGTAGAGCGATATAACCAGTCTATCGTTAATATTCTGAAGAAGTATGTTAAGGAGTCTGGTAAAGACTGGGACATTAAATTACCCCTAGTTTTAATGGCGATTAGAGCTACACCTAGCACTGCTACCAAATTGTCACCTTTTGAATTGATGACAGGAAGAAAGATGGTTTTACCACAGC